AGCGAGGATGAACCGGAGACAAGCGGCGGCGGTAAGAGGCGGAGAGGAACGGGAGGAAAGAAGCTCCGGCCGGGCGTCAGTTTCAGCCAGGAGCACTTCGACGAGGCGTCCTATTACTTCGAGAACGGGCTGCGGAAGGTGTATCCTTATTACTATGACTTCAAGACCTACTGCAAAGGTCGGTGGATTGGAAAGAGCCTCCAGGAGGTGTTTAAAAGCGAGTTCAGAGCTAAGAGTATGGAGTATTTTGAGAAGGCGARCGAGGAGGGTCGTATCCGGCTGAACGAGACCCCCGTGAAGGACCTGACCGTGATTCTCAGGGTCAGTCTGATCCGTGTTTGTGTTTACCTTCAGGACTTTAACCTGCACCTGTAGGATCTTTAACTTACAAGTTTAATCTCTCCTTTCGCTTTCTATAGAAGACCGACCACATGAGGAACACGGTCCACCGCCATGAGCCACCTGTGGTCGGCACGCCCCTGAAGATTCTGGTGGACGACGGTGAAGTCCTCGTGGTCGACAAGCCTGCGTCCATCCCCGTCCATCCCTGCGGTCGGTTCACCCACAACACGGTGATCTTCATTCTGGGCAAAGAGCACGGCATCTCTGAGCTCCGCATGGTCCACAGGCTGGACAGGCTGACCTCCGGAGTCCTGCTGTTCGCCCGGACGCTGGAGACCTCGAGGAAACTCAGCCAGATGGCGAGAGACAGGCAGGTACGTTCAGAGCTGTACGAAAACTTACATCTGTCTCAGTCTTGTTGGGTCCTTCCAACGTTTTTACTTTATTTTTCAGCTTGAAAAGGAGTACGTGTGTCGAGTAGAGGGTGAGTTTCCTGAGGGCGAGCTAATATGCGAGGAGCCCATCTTGGTGGTCSCKTMTAAGGTCGGCCTCWYCAGAGTCGACCCKAAGGGGAAGGAGTGCCGAACCGTTTTCCAGAGGCTCAGCTTTAATGGAAAAACTAGCGTGGTCCGCTGCTTGCCCCTCACCGGACGCACCCACCAGATCAGGGTCCACCTTCAGTTTCTGGGCTTTCCCATCCTCAACGACCCAATCTATGGATCCCTGGCCTGGGGTCCRCACCGGGGCAAAGGGGGGCTTYTTGGGAAGAGCGACGAGGAGCTGCTGCAGGCCTTAATGGAGGAGCATCGCTCTCAGGAGAACTCAAACCTGCTAGAGCTTCTAGATGACTGCACCGGGGTCACGAAAGATTCAGAGAAGTCATCTGAGAAAACGGACAAGTCAAGTAGTCTTTCTGAACCCGTCGACATCAAAGAAACAATTCACCCAAATATGAACAAAACCTCTGCTGAGGAGTCTCTAAATTCAACTAAAACAACCGAGAGTCCAAACAAAGCAGACGGCACTCCTCAGAAAACTCCTCCAGAGACCCGAGACCACCTGTGCAGTGACTGTAAAATAGTGCGGCCGGACCCCACTAATAAGGAGCTGGTCATGTACCTCCACGCTTTACGCTACAAAGGACCCGACTTTGAATATTCAACACAGTTACCCGTCTGGGCCAAAGAGGACTGGGTGGAAACAGAGTAAATCTCTTCTAACGGACGTGACTGATCATGGTTTTGTTTTGATTGTTTTGATTCTTTTCTCTTATTGTTTCTCAGCTGAGGTTTAATGAGCTGAAGTTTTGTTTTGCTGCTTAAAATAATTTATATTTAATGCATTTTCCTTTGAGGAATGTGGTGGTTGGCTGTGATCTGCTGATAGAACAAAAGAACTGAAATAAACGTGTGCAGGAAAATGTTTTATTTCACTCAGACAGCCGTGAATGATGATGGACAGTGATGACGCTGAGTTTTTGTGACAACAGAAAGTGGTGGTTTTGTCTTTAAGGCAGGTTATTCTGTAGCTACATGTAGAACCAGAGCTTTAAAAACCCGCTCTTAGGCACAATCTTCTTTTTTCATGCTGAAACACAATCACTGCCACTTTAAACACATCTGCTTTTGCACCAAATATTGTTTGAAGAACAATAAATAGAAGTTAGTTTGCAGAAAACACACAGTACAAACAGCCAACTGAAAGACACATGCTGTTAATTATCATAGAAAGAACTGAGGTGTGGATAAAATCAGAAATTAGCAAAACGTATTTATTAAAAACAGATTACAACACATGTAGTGCAATAACTTAAGGCAGAGACTTATAAAAAACAAAACAAAGGGGGGTCCTTGGACTGGGCCGTGTGGGGCAGTGGAGCTGATATGGGGGGGTATTGGGG